CCCCCCCCTGCAGTTCTATATTCCTGACCAGTCTACACTGAATGGGCCTGTGCTAATTGGGAGGCAGATAAGCTGTCCACGCTGTGCCCCAAATGTTCCCCCGGTGGACCTGTCTACCCCCACCGCCCATACTCCAAACACTTACCATGGGACGGGCCATGCACCGGTCCTTTGTGGTGACTCGCCAGCCTCTGAGTGGATCCTTTTCTCAGTTGTCTGTGGCCTGTCATTCCTGTGTGGGTCCACAGGAACTCCATTAGTGGTCTTGCTGCCCTGGGGGCCACCAAGGCCCTCCTTTCCCCTGAAACCTCCAAGAAACCTCACAGGAAGGGTACAGCTGTGACTTTTGCCAGCTCTTGCTCCATGTGCTCACCAACTGCAGCCTTGAAGTGGCCAGGGCTCAAAATGGTGGGAGGATCCTGTGTTTCTCTCATCGTGGCTTCTCCTGTCTTCATGAACTCCATAGGTATCTCCTCCTCTTCCCCTGAACTCACGGCTCCAGCTTGGCTGTCGTTGCTTTTTAATAGTTGTAAATTTGTTGATTGTGGGAGAAGGTGATGCTGGGGACCGTCTATTCCTCCATCTTGATCTGAAGTCTCTTGTTAACAGGCTTTAGAGTCTACAGAGCTGTTGTCAAATCTCAGCTCCATAACTTCATTAATCCTTCCTTCCTTCGTCCATCCACCAAGTATTAATGGAGTGCCTTCTGTGTATCAAGCAAAGGTCTCCACTTTTATAAAAATAGGACATTTTATGTAAATGTCCTAGTGCACAGTACCTGGGACATAGCAAGTACAGGATAAATAGTTGGGGGAAGAAAAGATGGTTCTCAGATCCAGAAATTGCATAACCCACCTCGTATTACAGTTGAGGAAACTGAGGACCAAAGCAACTGTCCAGGGCTCCCCTGCAAGGTTGGGGTGGAACCTCCACCTGGTGCACCATGTGCTGCCCCATTGCTGCTTCCATGGGGAGGGTGGATTCCCTGATGATGTTTCAGGTTGGAGAGGTGAGGATGGGTGGTGATCCCCAGAAGCCAAAAGTGCACATGTGCATTTATGTGTGTCCACACAGGCACACACACACACATACACACAATGCAGGACTGTCCTTGAGCAAAGTCTCCAGGAGGCAGCCAGGGTGGATCAGAGATCTAGCTCTTGGGGCAATATGGGGAACAAGCAGTGCCATTTCTTCCAGAATATATCCTGCATCTGCAGCCAAGGCCTCCCTGATACCCACTTCCCCCAGGGTCCCCAAGGGACAAGCCGGCAAGCCCTGCTCACACATGACTTTGGAAATATCCCATTGGGCAGCTTACCTCACTCCTCACACTTAGTCCAGGCCCACCCTTCAGCAGTCTCCTAACAGAGAGATACTGGAGTCTCCCTCCCACTGGTCCGTCCTCCACACAGCACCCAAAAAGATCTTTCTGGAATGTAACTCCCTTGCTTAAACACTTTCCCTGGCGCCTTGTTGCCCTCCTGATAACTGGCACAGTTAACCCTTCAGAAGCAGCCGCAGCTTGTCGTCTTCTCACCTCACTTCCCTTCTCCAGACATCCTGCTCCTAGACCAAACACCGCTCCTTTGCTCATGCTATTCCTTAGGCCTGTAGCAGCTGCGTCTACCTTTTCCACCTGAAAAAAATTACACATACACACACACACACACACACACACAAATGATTAAAACAAAACGAAACAAAACAAAAAACGCTCCTCTGATATGGAGCATGGGAGAAACCCAACTACCTCTAGCAATTAATTAATTAATTAATTGTAAAAGAATTTACTGAACCTTATAATGGAAAAGTTCAGTGGTTAGAACCAGTTTCAGGTGTGGCTGGAGCCAGGCATTCAAATGATGCCTTTCTCTCCATGCACATTTAACCTCTGCTCATCTTGTCTCCCTTTGTGCATTGGCCTCACTCCCACAGGTACTTCTTTGTGTCCAGGGGACATGGTCGCAAAGACTCGCAACTTACAGCATCCTTATAGCCAGAGCTGGCTTATCTATTATGCACAGTAGGCGCAGTGCCTTGGGCTCACAATACTTTTAGGGGCTCACAAAAATGTTTTAATTTTTTTTTTAATTGGAAGAAAGAAAATAATTTTTAGTTGAAAATGTTTTAATACATTATATTAATATATTTATTTTTTACAAATGCAGTTGTGAAATATAATTTTCAATTTTTTTTAATAGAGGAAGGACGAAGGCAGAAGTGCTGGGGGCCCACAGAAGTCACAATAAGGCCCTGCTTGACTCTCCCAAAGGAAGAGAGACCCTGTCTTCCAGTTTTTATGTGTTAAATCTCAGGGAAAACTCTGTCCCAGACTGGATCATGTGGCAGAACAAATCACTGTAACTAGGATGGAGGAATTTGATTGGCCAGGCTTGAGTCTCAGGCCTAACCCTGAGGGGAATCTATCAACCCCATACCAACACAAGGGATGGGGTTTCACGTGAGAAAGAAGACTCTGTTTCAAGAGCGTCCACCAAAGCTTTACCATCTCCCCCAAATGCTCCCTGCGTTATTAACTTTCCCTAACACCTTCCCCTTCCCCCAGGAGCAATAATTGCCTTCACGTCTACGCTGCCTCAGCAGTTACTTCTGGTATGATTGTAATAGACGGGATCACGGAGCTCTCTGCACTGGGCAGTGAGCTCCCTGAAGGCAGAGTGAAGGAGCGGATCACAGAGATCTGGAATATGAGAATGAGCAGACAGAGGGCTCAGCCTTGCCTGCGCGTGTGAGGAGGGGGTCTTTATCTGGGCCTTAAAGCCTGCAAGTCTGCCTACAATTAGGGGTGTCTCAGCTGGGTGCAGAGATGAGGAAGGACTCTAGGGGGCAGAAAGACATGAACGGTACCAGGGTGGGAAGGAGGTGGGTGTAGAGAAGGATGTCTCAGGAGATGAGGCTGAAGAGAGAATGGCACAAGATCATAGGGTGTGAGTGCCAGATAAAGGAATTTGGATTTTATCCTGCAAACCGGGGCTCTTAACCTGGCTCCAAGGAGAGGCGACAGGTCTGAAATTGCGTGTGGAATAATGTCTCTTGTGCCTTTTTCTGCAGGGAAGGTCCATGGTATTCGTTGATTTCCAAAGGGGTTTCTTTCTTACAATGGTTAGGAATTACTAGTAACAGAGATGTGTTCAGGCACCTCAAGGAGGGAGTGCCATGCTCCGGAATGCAGTTGGAACAGCACTCTGTCAACTACTCTGGAGAATGGGCTGAAGGAGCGAGTAGAGGCCAGGAGAGCTGTTAGGAGTCTGTTGCAAGAGTGCGGGTGGGAGACAGCATGGGCCTCAAATAGGGCAATACTGCGACAAACGGAGGGGAGCCACTGGAATGGCAAGACGTTGCAGCAGTAACCTTAGCAGGGGCCTTCTGCATGCTGGGGGGGATAGCGAGGAAGACCAAGTGACACCAAGACTTCCAGTTTACGTCATGAGATCATGGATGGTTTACAAATTATTTTCTCTTATTGTTTTATTTCTTCCTACCATTTAGAAAATATATTTTCTTTAAAAAAAAAAAAAAAAAAGGAATTATAGGGGCCGAGCCCGTGGCGCACTCGGGAGAGGAGAGTGCGGCGCTGGGAGCGCAGCAGCGCTCCCGCCGCGGGTTCGGATCCTATATAGGGATGGCCGGTGCGCTCACAGCGCTCACTGGCTCAGCACGGTGCGGCCGGTCTCAAAAAGGACAAAAAAAATTAAAAAATAAAATGAAGGAATTATTTTATTTATTTTCTTTTATTTATTTTTTTTAAAGATGACTGGTAAGGGGATCTTAACCCTTGACTTGGTGTTGTNATTTTATTTATTTTCAAAGTTAAGAATTTCTTTGAAAGTCTCTGATATATACAGATTTCCACTTTGTTCTTTTTTCTTTAAGTATGACATTGCCATTGTATCATATTTTTCAATAACCCTGTGGATCTGTTTGTTGGGCCTGTTTCTCTTGGTGTTTAATGCTTGGCGATCGTCTTTGAAAGTATACACAGAACATCAAGGCATTCTTGCTTTGCTAAATCCTGACTTTGTCAACCTCCACAGCTACCCGCTCCCTTCCCCAGTGCTCAGCAGCTCGGACCGGCTGCCTTTCGGCATCGAGGAGAACGGGGGCACACCGTTCCCCACCAAGCCTCCGGGAAGGCATCACCACCAGCACCACCCGAGCTATGGCCTTTCGCTGACCCTGGAGAACAAAGAGGGGCCTTTGAGGTCCCCAAACTCCAGCAGTAAATCCCTCGCAAGTGAGTAGGGGTGGAGGGGGCAGGGAAGGGGTGGGGGAAGCAATGCTCAGGGCATGAGCGCCTTCCCGAGACTCTCAAGACAGAGCCTTTCAGTGCAGTGCGTACAGCGGCAATGCTATGCTGCGCTACCAGGTTTGGCAAGAGAGGACAAGAGCCTTATGCATTTAGGCAGGAGCAGTTTAGAGACTATGATTTACCAGTAAACTCCAGTTTCATTACAGAGTAACAATTCTCTCTCCGCCTCATTTCTTGGTAGTTCGCTTGTGCAGTAACCAGCCCTGGTTCAAGCCAGTGGGAAATAGAAAGTGGGGAGGTGGCGGCTGGAATTTTTACTTTCCTAATTACAGAAAAATCTAGTTTGTCCCATTTCTGACATCCCACTTCCGAGAGCAAGGTGGCCTCAGGTAGATCCAGCCTGGCCACTGTTACAGGTCCCAGGAAAAGAAGTTACAGAAATAGAGAGTAAGCAATTAGAAACATTTTTAGCAATATGACAGAGCAATTTTATATCTGTTAAACCTAATAAAAAGAAATATGGGCTTGGATTTTGCATGTCTGTTATTTTATTTTTCTAGAGACTCACTTTTATTATATTTTACCAAAGAACTCATCTCTGATGAATGGGGGCAGGGTGGGAAGAACTGGTTCTTTATCACATGTGGTTTGAAAAGCACTGAGGTAGATGCAAAGGTCAAGAGGCTTTGAATCCAGTTCTCACTATTNGTTTGAAAAGCACTGAGGTAGATGCAAAGGTCAAGAGGCTTTGAATCCAGTTCTCACTATTGAGCAAAGTCCCTTTTCTAGTCCTCAATTTACTCATCTTTGAAATGGGTTGGAGGGTGTCCAGATGATCGCTGAGGAATTTTCCAACTTGGATATCTCATGAGTCTAGGAGCTGGTGAAACAGATGAGCCATTCAGCCTTCACAGGGAACAATTCTGGGCTGGCTGAGCTGGAAATGGGAACTCGTCACCCACTTGGTGTTTAAGAATCGGAATTCTGTCCCCTCTTCACTATCCATACTGCCCTTACCCTAGTCTCTGCCTCATCTCTTTGTATCTGGATGACTGTAATAGCCTCCTAAGGGACACCCTCTCCAGCACAATCTCCATAAAGAGATGCCAAATTCATAGCTCTCACCAGATAGCTCTTAAGACCCTTCAATAGCTCTTCACCGTCCTAGAATAAGCCCACACTTCTGAGCATGGCCACACACAGACCTTCATAGCCTGGCCTCTGCCAAGGTCTCCAGCCTTCCCTCATTCCTCACCACACTCTAGCTACATGGAACTACTCTCTTCTCGCCAAATACTGTGCCGGGTCCCAGCTCTGTCCTTTGCACCTGCTCTTCCTTCTACCTGAAATGTCTTTCTCCACCCTAATGAACTCCTACACATCCCTCAGAAGCCAGCTCAAAAAGTCATCTTGTCAATGAAAAGTTCTCTAACACCTGTCCCCCATTCCTGTCTTTGGAGTGCCTTCCCTTTGTCCTATAGCAATTAAGTAAACCTTTTATCACCCTTAATTAGAATGTCTATGCATGCATCTATCTCTCCCATTAGACTAGAATAGTGTCTCATTCACCTTTTTATTTCAGCTCCCCAGATCCCAATTGCTAACAATACTTGGCACAAGTGTTTTAATATTATTTTTTTTTTTTTTTCCTTTTTGTCTTTTTTTTTCGTGACCGGCAACAGATCGCAACCCTCAGTGT